TCATGAACATCATCATCATTCTTGTCAAACAGTACTAATCGTAATATTGAGCATTTCCCCTGGACCAGGTATTGTTCTAAGTGCTTTATGTTCGTTAACTCATTTAACTTTTCCAACAAACTTTTGAGGGAGAGCAATGGACTGAATGTTTATGTTCCCCCAAAGTTCATATGTTGAAATTCTAACCCCCAAGGTGATAGTATTAGGAGATGGGGACTTCGGGAATGATTCAGTCATGAGGGTAGAGCCCTCATGAATAGGATTAGTGCCCTTGTAAAAGAGACCCCAGAGAGGTCCCCTCACCCCTTTTGCCATGTGAGGTTACAGTGATAAAACAGTGTCTGCCAATGAGAAGCAGACCCTCACCAGACGCTGAATCTGCCAACGCCTTGATCTTGGACTTTCCAGCCTCCGGCACCGTGAGAAATAAATGATGTTTGTAAGCCGCCCAGTCTATGGTATTTTGTTATAGCACCTGGAGCTAAGACAGAGATGTTCTTTGATTTTCCCCATTTTACAATTGAGGAGCTAAGAGACAAAAATAGGCCATAATGTAATTTTCCCAGGGTTACACAGCTAGCAAGTAACAGAGACAGAATTCTAAACCCAGGCTACCTGGCTTCAGAATGTGTGCCACTTTAATTCTTCCCTCAAGAGTCAAGAACAGGAGATTTTTAAAAAAGTAAACAATCGGCCTTAAACTTACTAATAAACTAGAAATGAGAATTAAAACAATAATGAGATGTCATCTTTGCTAAATTGTAGAGATTCTGAAAAACAATACCAGTGAAAACAAGAGTGTAGGGCAACACTTTACTGAGACTATAATGGGTTCAATTTATAAATATTCACAATAAGACTTAAATTTGAGCATATTTTTTTAACAAAAATTTCAATTAATAAATTTATTTTAAGGCAATATTCAATGGTTTATATAAAAATACCTGTCCAAAGATAATCATCGCACTGATTCAGTAGGTCTGAGGTTAAGCCCAGGAACGTGCATTTTAACAAGCATGCCAGCTGATTCTGGTGCTGGTGTCAGCATGTGCACTGTGGATATGTAAAAGACAAAAACAGACTCACAAATAAATAGGCAACAGCAAAAAAAAAAACAAAACTTCGCCAGATACAGCCAGATAATTTCCTTGGGACTAGTGCACTGTGGATATGTAAAAGACAAAAACAGACTCACAAATAAATAGGCAACAGCAAAAAACAAAACAAAACTTTGCCAGATACAGCCAGATAATTTCCTTGGGACTGTGATTTTCTCAGGATTGAGTCCCTTTATCATCAAAATCCCATTTTTCATTTGTAATTGGGGATGATCAGACCTGTCACCTGCCTTTCACTGATTTTTAAGGATTGACAAGACGTCATTTGCAAAGAGATTTGGTGGGTCATTCCATCAACTTTGCACAAAGGTTTGTTTTTTAAAAAGTTATCAGTTTAATGTTAACTAACTATTCCAAATTTACCCACTATATAAGCAATTATATATTTTATGGCAAGAGTCACAAATACCCAGATGATATCGCAGCAATTTGTGTAATTTTTTTACTTTACCTGTATTAGTCTGTTTCTGTTGCTTATAACAGAATACCTGAAACTGGGTAATTTGTAAAGAAACAATATTTCATTGCTTACAGTGTTGGAGGCTGGGAAGTCCAGAGTGTAGAGAACACATCTGGGGAGGGCCTTTTCCTGGTGTTGACTCTATAGCAGCGCAGAGTATCACATGGCAAGAACTGGCTGAGCAAGAGAGAGCTAAGCTTCTCAGTTGCTCTCCTTGTAAAGCCTCGGAACCAGGCCATGACCACCCTTAAACCATCAATAGATTAATCCATTCACTAGGGCATGGTCCTCATAATCTAATCACCTCTTCAAGGCCCCACCTTTCAATCACCAGAATAGGATTTTCCACCTTCTTAACACTATCACAGTGGCGATTGTTTCTAATACATGAAAATTTGGGGGACACAATTCAACCCATATCATTACCTAACATTTTTAATTTACTACAGTTTAATATCTTCTAGGCTTTGAAAATTTTCAGTCTAGAGCCTGTGGATTTATACCTGTTTGTATAAATGGACCACTTGAATAGCATAAGTTATACAAAAATTGATTGTAAGCTCCAGGATATAGGACTATCTTATTTTACTGCATGTCTAGTTAATAAACAGCTAATAGTCTTGGGTACCTTTTTGCTGTGACGCAGGGTTTCTCAATCTTGGCACTGTTGACATTTCGGGCCAGATGTTTTTGTGATTCGAGAGCCTGTCCTGTGAATTGTAGGATATTTAGCAGCATCCCCAGCCTCTACTCATTACATACCAATTGTATGTAATGTGACACACTAGAAATGTGACATAACCAAAAAATGTCTTCAGACATTGCCAAATGTCCCCAGGTTGGAGCATAACACTGCTCCTGGCTTAGAATCCCTGATGTAATGCACGGAAAATTATTCTCAGTTTTTGGGAGGCGAAACAAAGAAATGGAAAGAAAATCTGGGTGGAAAAGCCCCTCTGGTTTTGTGAGGCCTAAGCAACATGAGAAAAAATTTGTAATATTATTGCATGCATAGGAGAACAAACGATTAGCAGTGCCACAATGACAGACTATCTGGACCTTGGGCAAATGAATTAGTGTCTATTTCCTCATCTAGCAATGTGGATAACAATAATGTCTCACAGGGTTAATGTAAAGATTAGTTAATTTATGTAAAGTACTTAGAAGAGTAACTAGAATGTAATAATCATTTAATGTTATCTATCAATCAATATTATTACCGATACCATTGTTTTCTTGCTTGAACAGGGCAATATAACAGGTAACAATTGTAAGTCATTTAATCAAACTGAATACTTTAGATGACAGTGAAAAAGAGATTTCTATTTTGAAAAGAAATTTCAAAAAAGAAAAACAACCTGAATCAAAAATAAAAAAACGAAAGCCTTAAATCTTTGATGGAATCTGTGGAAAGTG